AGGTAGCCAGTAGTTATGCATGTATTTAGATTTTACTATATATATTTAGGAAAATCTACACAATAAAACTTAGGACGCTTTACCGCGGATAAAAATAAATAAAATCAGTTTTGAATTTAAACCGAAGAGTTTATTAGCTTTGGTACTACTCTTAGAGGTAGCGGATTGCGATTCGCTACACTCGTATTGGTTCTTATAAGGAACGGCAGCCCCGCTGCAGACGAAATCCAATTCCAAAAATAGACTTATCACAAGCTGTGAATACAAATGTTGTCCTTTACGGTACAGTAATTTGTCACTAGGTACGATATCAAAGTGACCGATATCAGCAGCTGTGATTTCATTTTACATGATCTTTGAAGTCTTTGCAGACGTGTTACAGCGTACTTTAACTTCTTAGACACATCAGTTTGACGCAGCGGCAAACCCTTTCAGAGGTTCCCGGCGACCCAAGTTCCATAAGCGATTGTGCTTACAGGATGCTCTCACCAGCTACGAGAATGTGCTGGTGCGGCACCTGTGACATGAAAGTCCCTGGTTTATCCATAAAATGTTTGTCCCTCATTAGTAGAGATAAGCTTAGAGATACCATGGTGAAAGTTATGTAATATCATGATTAGTCTCCCACAGCAGTGGCATTCCTGGGGGAGATAAATACTGAGAGTTCATGCATTGATCTGCATAAAGCAACAAGCAATCTCACAAGAATTTATGGAACGGCCGATGGCAAATGAACCGCATGTTGCTCAAAATCTTCATTGGCAGATAAATCACATCTTACGAGAAATCTTCTTTTGAAAAGCATATGAATACTAGTCTGCGGCGTTTTTGCTAAACCTTGATATATTCACAATTTCAAGCGTAAATGGCTTCTATTGCTGCCGTCGTACATTTTTTGCAAAACCATATAAGCGCGGAGAATTGTGATCTTCGCATCAGTCAAGTTCTGAAACTGTGGTTCATTTTAGATATATCTAAATGATAATATTATCCGTTTGAGATTCATCAATGCGCTGGCTGGTTGCTTGGCAAATTAATAGCATTAAGAGGAAGACGATAAGTTTTCCGAGCAAGAGAACGCATATCCACCATTCTGGACAATTTATTATTGTATTAATACATCATTCTCAATAAAGTACACAAGAAATTACATTTATCTCAGGTATGATCCCGTTAAGCTCGAAGACTCGCATTGCAGTAGGTTGAACCATATGTGCTGCATATAGCCGCTGCACGTAGAATACGGCACGGAGTCGCTTTTTGGCAGTATGAGACGCATATTTTGGGAAGGTAGCGTCTGTATCATCGATGCTACACAGCCCAGCTTTACCCAGGGCAGTAGTCGGGTCATATTTGATTGGTGAGTTTGTGTATGAGAGGGTTCCATCGGATTATTTGATGTACATCCTGGCTATGATGTGGCCATTGTGAAAAATTAAGGCGTCTACTCGGACTCAATCGGCGCTAAGTATATTCTTTGTTCGCTCTATATATTAAAGCAGTTGTGAGATTTGAACATAATGAGAACGGGGAAATTATTTAGCATTTGACATGAGTATCACCCATCTGATTTATAAGAGTTGTTGCATTCAACGCAGTTTCTAATAGCCGAACACTTGAATGGCTGCTTTGAGATCTACTGTAAGCTTTAATGTACATGCATTTTGGCTGTAATTGTACAATGCGATCTGAAGTCAGCTAACGCACTTTTGAATCTTTCTCCGGTTGCCATTAAGATCTGCGACTTCGGCTTTGCGCGCCTCTCGTCGTCGATATGGTGCAAGCGGGTTCGATTGAATGATGGATAAACTTTAGATGAAAACACTGCTAGGCATGGGTGCTCATCATTGCACTCTTGCTGATCGAATCAAGTGCTGACTAACAGAATACGTCGCCAATCGGTGACATCGAGTCATACGAATTTCGTTCTCGATTTCTTGATCACATTACTCTGCTGCGATTGGCTAGTGGTAGGTACGTTAGTGTCTTTTTATAAGTGGGTTTACATTTACTAAAGTTGACTTTTGTTGATTAGATGTAGTTTTGCAGATTACTGTGTATGCAAAAGTGTAGCATACCATCTGCATAAACTGCTTTTGCCGGAGTTGATTGACATTTGCTGAGTCCTCGTGCTCCACAGACCGCGTTTTCCCCAGTATAGTCAAGATAGTCGTGATAAATCAAATACATCTGAAATCCATAGTACGATGGATGAAGATGATATTGCCGAGATATGATAGTATTTGCGTGCGTTGCCTCCTCGACCGAAGACTGCTCTGCAGAAAATGTTTCCGGGCGCTGAGCCAGAAGTTACCGATTTGTTTGCTTGGGCGCTAAAGATGAATAAAAAATATTAAAAATTTAGAAGGGGTAATGTCACACAAATACTTGACTGTCATTTGATCGCAGGAGGAATAGTTTGTACGCATGATATGCATAGATCGCAAATAGGATATGGTCAAGCAGGTGTACGCTGAGCTTGATAAAAACATGTGTTATAGATAGTAACCCCTTGTCAGGATTTGAAGAGTTCTTTTCTGCCGCTTTGGGGTCAATTGCTTATCCGATGAGATTTGTTTGGAGTTAAGCATAGCCAATGGAAAGATTAAAGCGTCACAGACGACAGTCAACGACCGATCCGGATTCCAAGCCAGAATGCTGGCACTTTCAGATGTCTTTGCAGTTTTGAGAGCTGCTATTTTTAAATATTTGCAGCGAAGATCGGTAAAAGGCTTAGAGAACATGGCCGGCAAATCCACCATCAATTACACTTTTTCCATTTAAGTTAAATCATGACGTGTTTTATCATTTGCCTTATATTTAGCGCTCCTGTCGGCAAATACTGGCAGCATACTACTTGTCCATAACTCTATTGTCCAAGCACACATTCGTTTGAATAATTAAATGAGTTTCTGGAATTTTGGATGTATTCAAAGTCATTGCAGTTGAGAGCTGCAGCAGCCTGGATACAGCGACGGTCACACGAGGCACGACAGCAGACGCAACCGTCTGTTTTTCTTAAACTATAGTTGAGTCTGCAGAAAGCCGAAGGAAAATAACAGATAGACAGGTTTTGACGTTCGAATTCTAAATGTTTGATTTTGCACAGACGGTGTTTTGCTTACTATTGCTATGAATTGATGGGTAAGATTGATCCACGACGAGCATATTTGCTCGCGTTATTATACGCAATCTGAATAAGCTGATGCGCTTTGGTACCACATTCCACTCGTGCAAGTGCTTTGGAAGGAGATCTCCACCCCAAAATTGACGCGTTTTGTCCGATAACCTGTCTGTAAACGATCAGCAGCCGACATGTCCAATCTGGCGCCTAGCATCCTGAATACAATTAGCCACAACTTTGCTACAAAAGCGGAGTTTAATCCGGCACAGCGGTTACTCAAAACCCGTCTTAAGAAAATGTCGATGATCAGCATAATTGAATCCTCACCGGCATCCTTCTCGCTAATAGCAGCGAAATTAGACCAATTTGCACGGATGGTTCACAAAAACCGCAACACCAATATTACCGAGCGCATCTCTTAAAAAACTGTGCATGAAGCGGGTACTTTAGAGTTGCTGCCAATATCATGCTGGAACAGGCGGGCTACTAAAAAAACGATACATGAAGCAAGGACGGAACCTGTCGACATCGACACTTTTACACGTCCGCTCATAAGCGCTCGCACACTCATGCAAGTCAATCCACCAACACATAGCCTTCAACCAGCCGTAGATATTCCTTCCCCGATGTCAACTTTACAGAATTTCCAATCATTTAACGTGAAGCGTCAAGTGCGGTAGTACTGTGATATACTAAATTTGAAGCAAGAGTAGCGGTAAAAACCTGCAACCAAGCGCTTCGATAATGCGGCAATCGAAACGCTGTCTAATGTCTTGAATAAAAGCAACACATGCTGAGTCTGACCTAGGCTGAGCATATCGTCTCAGCAATTGGCGAGGTCAACATCGTGATATGCAGAATTTATGGTTGGGGAGTAGGAGAAGAGCACCCACCACAATAGGTGATCTGGTTTTGTCCTTATATCAAAGGTACTCTGAGCAAAACGAAAATTTTTTGCCATTCTTAGTGAGAGATGCGGTGACGACGTTTCTGTGTGTACAGGCGCAAAATCTGTATAGATCAGAAACGGCTTTGAGCCAGACAAGCATACCTCGAATTGACCGAAAGCTATTTTCATTGCAGCCGCCTCTTTGTTGTGAGCGAGATGTTCTTCTCTGCCGTGTTTAGATAACGAACTTATAGCGCGATGAAAAGCTCTGCACATTAGTACTTGTAGTAAAGTACATGCTATAACTAAGGACAAGGCATCACAGAACACGTGAAATGGCCGATCCGGTTTGAGTTAGCCAGAATCAGGCGCACATAAACCTTCGACCACAGAAGGCAGCTTTGTGCTGATCGGTGCTCGACGTTCCCCCCAAGGACCAGCTGCGTAGAAACTAGACCCTTCATTCCACTCAGCCGAGGGGGATCGGGGTTCTCTCCGGGAGCAAATGTTATGTACTACATAAATTTTTATCTATGAGTACCATAAAGCTGCTCATCAGCAAATAGATCTCTTTTGTTACTTGTCGGCATGGCTGAGACACATTGCCTCTGGCGCGCTCGTAGAGCTTCAATCCCTCACTCTTCAATCGACCCTCGCGGCACGGAAAGTGATCTTTGTATTTCACATGAAACTCACTTCTACCTCAAGAGAAGTCAGTTCGACGCGGTCCCACTCCTCGATGATGGTGGCAAATGTTACTTCCAATTCTCAGTGGCTCTTACGAATCCAAACTCCGCGTGGTCAACACGGACTTCTAAGTCAAAGCTATCTCTGTGTAAGGTGTATGGCAACCCCGCTTCATTAGGTAGCGCTTGTAGTCAACATCGTGTCGACACTACATCCTCCATGAGAATGGAACACGCAATCTGTCCTCGAAACAACTTTACACGCTTAAAGCGCCTATGTCGTGAGGTGACTGATAGGGGATAGCACGCTTGGAAGCCCAAGAACCGAAAGCAGTTACGCGACGCAGGCGATCAATAGCAATGAGAACACGGTGGTGGGATACTTTCATCAAAACGTTAACTAGTCGTCGGTGGGAACAGAAACCCAGCTCCCACAGTGTTGCCTCTCATGTTAAGCGTCCAGCACTTTGAGGTCATAGGCAGAGAGATCCCCTCCCTGAAGATGCTGAAGTTGAAAGGGACATTAGTTATGCTCCGGACAATGCAAAAGGGTGTCGCGTTCGCAGTCTTCAAGTTAGTCGGCTGCGCGCAATGATGGGTACTCACGTGCAGCATTTCTTCAGAAGCGGCATGTCTAACATGGGAATATTTATAGCGATATATATGTCGCGAGTGTTTGCACCGCCAAACCAGGCTCGGTAAGATTGCATCCCCGAGTTACAACATTTATCGCCGCGATGGCAGCGACTCCACTTTCTTTTTTCTTTTTCTTTTTTCTAAATATAGAGCGACATTATAAGTAAGCTATATATGATTATTATGTCTAATAATAAATCAATATATGCTGCATGACGGCCCACACATCCCACGGAGTTCTCCTTCACGGAGTCCCATCGTCCTCATCACCCCAATGCTTTGGTGCCCCTGAGCTGTGCAATTGAACGAAAGTATATACAACAGTTTTGTTGTGTACCCCAGTACAGCAACGCCCCTCACTATTATTCCTTAAAAATTTACCGAGTGAGTTTGTTTGGTAGGTTGTTGGAGAGCAGCATGCGTTATCTACAATTTTTTATAAAAGTATTTTGGAGATATTTTTGATGGAAATCTCCTGTCGAAATGATGATGCATTTCATGAAGTGCTTCTAATATAGAATGACTAGATTCCGTAAACATGCCGCTGAAATGTCTACGGCACAATCCGAACATAAACTAGCCACCTACCCACCTGTTATGTAATTTTGGAGTGCAGTCCAAACCTGAGAGCAGGACGAGTAGCAGCCACAGCTCGGATAAGATGGGCAGTCGACGCCGCCGGATGAAGCAAATGCAGGGAGTGCTTTTACTTTCGCGGCTGGATAAGTCAGCAACGCGCACGTATCAGAAGCCGCAACGCGTGATAGTAGTGCTGCAGCCCCAGATGTTGCAGCTCTCTTACTCGTCGCTAACAGACCAGGACAATCTGCGTCCACTGGGACATATTAGCCTGCTCGGCTCCACGCTGGAGCAAGTCCTTAATGGATTTATCATTCATGAGGCTGGAAATGGGTCTTGCAAAGTCGGTTATGCATTTTAATGATGTAAGGCAACTTTCCGCTTATGGATCGATGCATGTATGGGACAGAAAGTTAGGCTTCAGGATCAGGACAAGGCCACTATGGATGCTTGGTTTTATGCAGTCTATACGGCGACCACAGAGCACAAGCGCATTCCGGTCGGTATCGACGAGAATGATAAGCACAAGCTCGGGGTCATTTTTACTTCGAGCAAAATCGATGAACACACAGAGGAGGTGGTGCGTGATGCCATTGTCTGCTTCCAAGATTCATATCTATACTGTGTTGTGAAATCGACTTAATTGATACTATCGAACAGGAATATGAGATATCGTGCCAATTGGCCCTTCCTGCAGGAACCATTGACAAGCTTGGTATCTCTTGGAAAACATGGAAGACTTTTCAGGAATTCCGAACGTTTGACGAGTGAGTGTGATAAAGATTTGTTAATCTAATATTTCTCTATTCTTACTGGGCAGTCGACGAAGCTGACTGCCTTTTTGCATTCCGTTATAGTGAGCTGCGAGTATCATTCGGTGCCTGTATGACGCAAATCACGTTCCCTCGAGGCCGCAAACGCGATACACTTTTTAGTAGTCTGCGCAAAAAGTCACTGCAAGGAGTGAAAGAGCAACAGCTTGCTCTCTATACTAAACATGTTCGCTCTAGTGATAACTTGCTTTTATTTACGTCAATTATTGATGCAAGTCTATTTTTGTTACTAATGTAGGTGTGCCAAATGTCCGAGAACGTCAATAACCCTTCGCTTCGTGAAAAATTGATGCAGTTTCTCAAGTTTTATGATTTTTATGAGATTGCTGTAAGCACCAACGATTGGTGTATACTATGTTTCCTGAAAATAGTCTGACTAGTGTTTGATTACTGCTTTTAAACATCCAGTCATCAGCCACTAGCGATACCGATAGGAGTGATCACGAAGCCTTAGCCACACTCGTCAGCACTGACCCTATACACGAGCCGGTGCTTTCCGTATCCGCAAATGCTGAAACGATTGGTGATGTGTCGGAACAAATCCCACTTCGTGATGTACAGAGTGTAAGCCAGCCTGCTGCTGAGCCCTCAGAAGGCGTGTCCGGCATACGTGTGAGTAAACAATTTACTACTACGGACTCAATTTCTTCTCTGCCGATCATGTATGGAAGATCGAGTTTTGCTTTCTCAGAAGACGAAGATGAAGGTTTTGTGGAAGTCATACCCGTAATTGACCCCAAAGCATCGAAGAGACTCCACAAGAAAATTATTCAGACTGTTCGTGAGCTTGTATCTCACGATGAAGAGCGCGTGCGGGAGTTCCAAGACCAAACGAAAGATTTTGGCCGAGATGAAATGTCAGCCTTGGAGTATTGCGCGTTTCTACTTGGAGCAGTAGGCGCTTTGGAGTGCTGTAAACTCATTCCCGAAATGGCAAAACTTCTTCCTGATGACATTAAAAGAGCAGAATTAATGCAAGCTCGAGCTGCCATCTGGACACGAACTCACAGGCGGCAGCGCAGACGCTCAAAGCAGTTTTCAGAGAGCGTTGTGCTTCAAAAGTCAAGAGAATCTCAATTAAGTAGTGATTACGTACACAGTCGAGCGCGTCCAAAGTCAGACAGCGCAAGTTTTTGGAGTAGAGAATCTGAGCGCGTTCGGCCTATTAAAGGATTAGTACGAAGTTTTGAGATCAAAAGAACATCCACATCACCAATTGAACTCCCACGTCATAGCAAGCCGTCACCCGATGCTCTTGCTCATTGTGCTGGGATTGCTGACCCGCGACGTCATTTGAATCGACGAGCTTCCTTTAACGTAATGTCTCGTGAGACTGTGCAAACGGATTCGATCAAAGAGGAGGATCCGGCAGACAACAAGTCTGATGACGAGAGTTTTTCAGACCGATTTCACTCTCTGAGTTACGAGACTCCGCCGAATAATTGGATGTCACCAGTGTCTGGAAAGATGACGGTTAACTCAGGACGACGCAACTCTGTATTTCTCATTGAAGATGATGTTGACCACGATGATGATGACGACCACAATGATGACGACGACAGTAATGACAGTGATGAAGAAAGTCGCCATCCAAATTGCTACGGTCACAGCCGCTATCGTCAACAAAGCGGATGCGAAAGTGGTTGCCGTAAAAATCATATCGCGACTGAGTCTTGTGTCAGTGCTCGATCTCGTCAGAACTTCTCTTTCGTTGCTGGAACTGATGAAGATCATAACGATGAAGAAAATAGCCATTTGCGATATCGCAGGAGCCAAAGCTGCGCCAGTCATATGTTCAATGAGAAGGCGAACCTTCTTAACACAGCACATCAAGAGGAAAACCCAGTTCTGGCTCGTCTTAAAAAGCAGGGGGCTGTAAACTTTATGATACAGCTACAGTAGGGACGTGTATGCAGCAAATCATCGCTGTCTTTGTTTAAGTGTACTCTCAGGTTTGGTGTTATGTTGTGCGGGCACCTTTCCTGACTGTGTGTCTGACCATCTATATGAGAAGGAAGGCTGGACGATGTGATGTACAGGCAGAGAAAATGTCCGCCCACTATCGATCACTGAATAAATACAATATTTACAGAACACTGCGTTATACGTCTAAGGCTATCATTCCTTGTATGTTAGTATAGCCGAACAGCATTATCATCCACACTCGACACGAAGATTATTTTTTTTGCAATTTTTTGGACTAACGCTGTATTTGACAAATCTTGAAGTGAGAGGTACCTAAATTTAGGAGACTCTTAGCTCACTCCCTGGTCAAGCGTACGAATTCATCCTGTTCGCGTGTGTTATAGTGAAATTTTGAAGCTAATGTACCCCGTTGCAAAGAATCAGTGGACAAGTATAGGTGTTTAATTCTGTTGTGATGTGTTTGTCATGTTACCGGTATCCTAATTATAACTTAGAACATTTGTACCGAAAATTAGGATCAGAATTAATTACATAGGCAGCATGGACGACTCGTGTGAACGTAGTACACAGCAAATCGCGACTAACCGTATTATAAAGTTTGTGGAGGAATCGCGTGAAAGCTGCTGGAAGCGTAGCGCGGTGGCTTGTATAGCTGGATCAATTATGGGAGTAGGACTTGGCACGTTTCTCGGCACTTTTGAGGGTGCTCATGGAGATCTCATGGGTCATACCATGCGAGAGCAGGTTTACACGATAAATTCATCAAGGTAATTGATATGTACTGATTGAGCTGTTGTGTCGGTATTTGTAGCTCTACAATGGTTTCAGCAAATCTATCAAGGCTGGTTATGTGCGCAGCGTTCACTTCTCTAAGGCACGTGGAGCTAATCATGAGTATGTCAATTTCGGTCAAGTAAATGATCAATGCTAGGAGTTTGCGCTCGTGGGCAGTATTTTTGCTGGTATCGAGTGCACGATTGAGCGCGAAAGAGCAGCTCATGATATTTTGAACCCTATATTAGCCGGTGGCGTATCAGGCGGATCGCTTGGTGCATGGGCTGCGAGGAGGTCGGGTACACAGTGTGAGACAATGCTTTTGAAGTCTCTGACAAAGCTGAGCTGATTCTGATCTGAAAGTGTGTTGTGATTGTAGTGCTAGTGCGAAATACAGTCAAGGGCGCAGCAGGTTTTGCTGTCATGGCAGTTTTGTTTGAGAAAGGCATGGAGCTTTTAGCGAACCCGACCGGATAGACGAAAAATTAAAGTTGGTATGTACGCGGGAGGACGTGGGATTGCGTCATCTAACTTTAATTTGCCCCATACATTACCACCAGTAAAAATTCGAACCTAGATTTCTTTCAGAAAGAAGGGTCTTTCCAGTGTGACAGTTTCTGCGTCAGATAATACTTCCAACCTGCCCCCAAACGAACAAATCATTGGCTTGCAACTGAACAAGACATAATTGCCATCGAAAGACATATCACTTCCTTGAATTTCTCTCCCTCCTTTCTTGATCAGCTTCGTTTGAATAGGTTCTATCAATGACGAAGTACGCTTGTTCCCGTTGAACTTCAGTGCCACAACAATCATGCCTCCCTAATACATGCAAATCAGCAAGAATAAGATTTCGATGTGGGTTAAACTTTATGAGCGAAGCGTACAGCCGACAAATAAAATGTTGATGACGACTGCCCACATTTATCTGTTTGACAACTTTTTTCTAGCAGCAAGTTTGGCTGCAATTTGGTGACAATTTCAAGAAAGCCCGACTTATCCTCGATCTTGATTGAAAGCGGAGTTGGCGACGTATTTTGAAGAAAAATATTTGTTGGTGGAGCCGGCGCATTGCTCTACAAGTGCTGATGAATAAAAATATATCGAAAAGTTGTAGGCAGTACTCACAGAAATCGGCTTCTTGATAATTATTTCGATTGGTGTTATAACGATGTGAACTGTCCCTGACGGCAAAATATTTTGAGTATGCGTTGCTTCTTCACATGCATTAAAGTCATCCGAAAACGAGTTGCGGCGCTGGTTTGCGCGTGGTGATTGCACTTTAGACTCCAATTCTGGGATGTGGAGATCATACTTAGCTCCGAACCAAGCAGGTAGTGTACCTGTAGACTTCTTGAAATTGTATATTTCTGCTGCATCCTTTCCAAAGCCATCCAACTGCTTCGACACTTCCGTCCAACTGTTGCCGTAAACTTGAATATTAAAGACCTATGAAGTTTACGTGATCGCGGTCGTAACTAAAACAGTCAATACCAAAGCACTTGTAATAACTAACGAACCCGCCACTCGACTCGCTCGGACGAATGAATATCGTGGGTTAAAGGAAATCCAATGTTAACCTTTAAAACCTGGTGGTAAACATTCTCAAATTCGTGACAGTACTCGAGAATTAAATCACCTAAAGTGTCAAATTTCAGATCCTTGTCCATGAGTTTATCGCACCGGCTCAAACCCAACGCTCCCCATTTTCGCTGTTGGTGTTGAATGCCCAGGACAATGTGGCGATGCGTTGTTGCGCCAGCTGTTGTTTTAAAGCTGACAGGGAATCGATCAAGTTTCTTGATTCCCGCAGTCAGGTAGGCTGCCAAAAAGACCGCCTCGAGACATTGAATAGGTAGACCTTCCCTGAGAATTTCTTTTGCTGTGCTCGCAATACTCTTAAAACTGCGATTCTTGTTGACATCAAAGTAAAGAGTTCCGGTATAATTGTATCTTGTCATAGGACGTCTTGTCAGCATGACATCAACATAATAGACCGCCATCTATCACCTACTCAAGCGAGGTAATGACATTTTGAAAAGTGTGCAGCTTGCTATTCATGGACACCTTCGGCCCGAATGAGGGAAGTTTGGGCTCAGGAGGCTGTTCAATAAGTAAAACAGTCAAATTCACCATAAGCATTAGTCGAACTTGCAATTATTTACCTCGGGAAGACTTGTCATAGCCTTAACCTTCTGCCAAGCAACCTGCAGCTCATTGCCAGAAATCGCTGCCATGGAAAAGATCAAATAGTTGACATTTTTTACTTGTACATTGGTTGCTAAATTCAGAGCTTCAACAATTTTTGTGCCTCTAAAAATGGAAGCCTAAATGTGTAAAATGTACATTATAGTATATCGTACAGCACAGTCAGAAAGAGTACATCATTCTGTGTGGGTAACTGGATAATCCGTGAATGGACCTTAAATCAAATTTGGAGCCGACAATGCACACGGGTATAGAAAATCTTCGCTCACTGAACAAGTATGAAATTTCACACAAACGTGCTACAGCGTATCTGATCGGACAATTGTCGCAGCTGCTGTCAAAAGAGCATCGGAGTCTAGAAACGGTTTAAGCTATTTCAGAAAGATGTGATGACCTTATTGTAAGCCGGGGAAAATGCTGTGTAGCTTTATCTCATGGTATGGTAGCTTTATTCGTAATTTTCAGCACTCCCCGCGATCGACCCCCGAGCTTGGAGATAGCCAGCGCCACGCGCTGTTGCTTGGTCTGGAGCATGGTCAACGCCATAACCATCTCGACCTCTCACCCTGAGCAGAAGATTCTTTCTATCCTTGCCCTTGAAGGTATCATAATCGGATTGGGCGGGGGAGTCATCCGTCGCCGACGGTGGCGCCATGGACGCAGTCGTCGCCCGACCGTTGATGCGTGCGCTAGATAACCACCCTGCGAACAGCATCCAACTTCTTTTTCTGCCTCGTCGAAATCATTGATAATTTCACCACTTCTTCGGAAGTCGACAGGTCGGGGAGCGGATATGTCGTCCGCAAGGTTCGAGCAGGGCTCATGTCGCGCGTGACCCTCTTCTACTTCCCATCCTGAGAAAAGAGTAACCGACTCGTAGTCGAGTTCTTCCAAATCCTCGACGAGCTAATCCATCGCCCGTGACGGGCGCGGTGTGCGGTCGGGAGTAGACATTGCGTCGGTTTTCTTGGTCGCGCAACCCTGTCGCTGAAGTTGCACTTCACACTGACGTGCGGCACTTCGGTCGAAGCGGCTTTTCTCTCCACGACAGAGCTGAAGCTACAGCTTTTACGAGTGTTCTCGCCGCCGAACCAGGCATATCGCGTGCGATCGCGTTTCTTTGCCGCCCAGAAGGCAATAAGAGTTTGGTGAACTTTGTCCAAGTGTTGCGTACACTCATTGCCAGGATGACAACCAATCTTCTTCCGGGCTGTCACAGTGATCGTCTTCTTGGGGGGCGTCCGCACTGGCGTTCGTTGCCATAATTGAAGTCTTCCGTGTTCATTCGTCTTTTTTAGAAAGCGTTAATGCCGAATTCAACTTTGAGTCGACACGACTTGGTTGGAATGCACACTCTAACAGCTTGTCGAGCGCCTGAGCCAATGGATCTCAGCTATGCTGAGAAAGTGGAGTGAGAGCTCCGAGCTTCCGGGCAGCGTTTAATCACCCGACGGTGTTTTGTTTGTGGAGACACCCGTTCATTTCGGACTGGTTGTCCCTGCGCAAGACACGTAAAAGTTCATCGAGCCGACGTCCTGCTTCTCATCAATCTTCTGGTTCGTTTTGGGAAAACGACAACAACCAGTAGGCGCAGGGCTGCCTACTACAGAAAAATTGAGTTCTGTTGAGCCTCAAGGAGGTAAAGGTCAGCAGGGTCCAGCCCCGAAGAGCTCTGTGCTCTCGAATACGGAACGTGTGTGCAAGCCGGGCTTGCTGGTCGTGAAAGCGACCATGAAGAGCTTTGTAAAGCCATGAAAGATCTTGATAGATTCCGGGGCGTCGAGCAATTATGCTCGACACTCCACGATGGCCAGTGATTATAAACTCAAATTAAAAAATGCACATAACAGCAAGTTTTGATTAATTTTGTTCGCTGTTTTAATCACCAGATTGGACATGTTAATCGCTGACCATCTGCAGACAGGTCGTCAAACGAGATCCAAAAATCAAGCGGTAAAAATATTATCTTTACCACTTTCTCGGTGAGACCGTGGTGCTGAAGCAAATCGCTCTCACTCATTGAGTTTGCCTTAAACAAAGTAGTCCATGCATATGCAATCTTTGTTTATATTTAAATGGCCTGGATTCCTGACTTCTGTTCTGATTGTGCCACGAAGTGGATTTGGTCTCGCCGATAGTAGCCCGGCTACATTTTAAAGCAGATCATCATGCGATTTTGCGTTATGTACCAATTGTGCGATGCCAAAACGCAGTGTCAAGATTATTCGACGAAATACACCAAAACTAGAGACAGAAAAACATATATAGTTGAGGACGAGTCTTTGAGTAACAAGTGTTGATCTACCTATCCGGCAGTGTCTGCAATCTATATTAGTATGCTCAGACCCCGGACCATCGGACCGTTCACGGTCGTGTGAGAAAGGGATAAGAGTATACTTTTATTATATCAAAGTGAGTACAAAGACATTTCAAACTTTATATAGCTTGAAAACGCCATACCACCATCAAGCTGTTACGAGTTAGTTGGACGAGAAGCGCACAGTCGGGGACAGAGCAACATCTCTACATCCCCTAATAGCTGAGATACCTCTGCTTTGGAGCATCGACATGGTTCTAAACCGCTGAAGGTTCGCAGCGCGATGGCGTAGTTCCGTGAGCGCATGCAAAATCTGAGCCTTCTCAAATTCGTAAACACGCTAAGGCCTCAATAGATACTGATGTGCCACCAGTTTCAAAAAGTCAGTTGGGGTGTTTGTCCTCCGCCTGCGCGTTCGTGCGGACGGAACAGGTGGTAGCCCAGTTTCATATATAATTGGAGAGTGGGCAAGTGAGTTTACCAAGGCTACACTACCAGCATTCGTTGCATTGAGAAAAAACCAACACTCCGCAGAAACCATTTAAGCTCGAGGTCCCACTTCGAAAAGATTGTTCTGCCACAGATAATGCTAATAATTTGGCGCACACTTGGTCTATATATCCCGCAATTGAGAGAAAGAGTCATCCAACATAGCGCGTGGACTTGTTGCAAGTTCGGGGTGGGTAGCTATAACAGCTGTCTGACGAAGAAGAGTGGAAGATTGAGAGCGATTTCCTCGACCCGTCTGTTAGAGATCAGTACCTAGAGTCTAGCCGTTTTGACGGGTACGAATCTACCCTACCGCTGCTGCTTCAATCGCAGTAAGTACCTCCAAGTAGTTGTGACTTGTGTGGTTAGCAAGCGAAATGCGAAGCGACTTTTTGTGCGAGTCCAGAGCATAAGATTGCTAGGCTTCACCCCAGCACCGTGATACGTATTAGGTGGAATAAAGCTACAGTCACGAAGTGCTGGGATACATCTAATTTGGGCGACCCCCTCATAGCCACGTCGTCGTGAGTTCTATAGCTGGGTGTTTCATCTCTTTCGCAATGAAAATAGGGACAAAATGCGTAACTCGTGCAGACAAGAGGCAGAGAGCGAAGAACGTCTTCTTCTCGGCAACTGGCATTACAGTAAGTCTACAGGGTGGGATGCAGGGTCCAGGCGTCGGATAGTTGCTACGACAATTATCATTAAAAATAACCTTGCCCTTCTCACCAAGAACGACTTTTAAATCGTCAGCTACATGGATTTCGCCTTTTGTAAAGGCTAGATGATCTATAGTATGGTGCGTATAGGATTGACTCTCGATGCGAAGATACCTTGAGGGGCAAGCAGTAGGGCATAAGAGGTGGAGCTAAACTCTCAAAGGCAGTGGGTGCTCACTGACCCCTCACTTTGTGTCATTGTATAAACGGACAAACAAGTGTAAGATACAATTTGGTCCCTGCAATGAAGTATGCACTCTGTTGTCGTGTAGATAGATAGCACAACTCTACACCATAATATTTTGTGCCATTGTAAGGAAGATTACACTCTAGTATAACTTCGAATATTTAGAAGTTCGAGATATTTGGTACTAGTAAAGACGATAGGGGGTCATAAGAATTAGGTTCACGTTACACGTACGGTATTTGCCTCACGTCGAGCGATAACGATAGTTTTTGACCATGATCCAGCTCATAATTAGTATAATTCTAAAATCATTAATTCTAATTGTAATGGGGTCCCACGTACCCTTGGATGAAAGGGCGGGTCGCACAAGATATGCGACCGTACATAGGTGTGGATTACACAAGTCGGTGTAATCACACAGTGGTGTGGCTACACCGTAACAAGAAGCCACCACGTGGACAGTAATGCATATTACTATATTAATTAGGTTTCACTATATAAATTAGACCTTACTATATTAATTTAAAAAAAAACTATGGTTTTAGATGTTGCGGCTCTGCCGCAACTAAAACAATTAAATACAGCTTCAATTTTGAACGAAAGAGTCCCTTTACCTTGGTTATGGTTTTCAGTGCTGTTGGGGGCAGCGAATTGCGACCCGCTGCACTCGTATTGGTTCTGGGAAAGAACGTAAGGTCAGTCAGTGACCTTAGCTTAGCTTCCTCTAAGCAAAGAGTTACGACAGCCCCGCTACACAAATTTTGTGCCACTCTTGAATTAGTATATTCAGCTGTGTAACTATTAGTCGGTACCCGTTGCTGTGTGAAGAGTACTAACCCGTTCATGGTATATTTGTTAAGACAAAATTTTATCAAGCTCCGTTGCACAGGATATTTCGGTGTGAGCTGCACTAGTATTGAGAGTCTCCATGAAGATGGTGACCAGTTCCGTAGACCCTCCGTCGAAAGAAGGTGCGCCACATTAATTTATCACAGTGCTGAGTATTATCAAACTCTGCTACCCCCATCCCCATTGATGGATATAAAATCATTTCGATTGCATACGGGTATGCATGGTTAGGCGGCGCGAGCACTTGGGATTATGTCACTTCTTATCTTCACATCTCGGGGTTGATTTTCCATAGAGAAACTAAACGTTGGAGCAGTATAATCTCGCACGAGGCCACATGGCTTGGGAACCGGTCGTCGGGAGAATGACCGAATACATGGTCATCTCAGCCTCGCTCGTCTCGAGAAAAGGAGTTCTATTCTATCTTACCTTGAAGCGCTGGACGCTCAAATTGAGCAGCCTCATGATAAAAGTGTCACCCTCCCAGTGGCACCCCATCAGAATGCTTCTGGATGTGGATCACCTGCGTGTCATCTAAGCTTTTGGAAGCCTTCAAATGAACAATTACCTATTCCAATTTTCGGGCCGCTAGGTATGTTAATCCCTCAATACCAACTACAGACATGAGCTTATTAAGCGAGTCAAAAAATCGATCAACTTTCGTGCCATTTTCACTGTGTATACCTTCTACTCAGATTCGATCAACGAGTTGATGACAAGTGCTACCATGTTAAACGGGATTATCGGGTCCGAACGAAATTTGCGTTCATAAACGCACAAAAATTGAGTTTGTATGCTCTGCCCGGAAGCGAAGTCAAAAGCGAAATCAAAAGCCCCTCAAGTATTAATAACTATATCTGCTTTATAACGTTAAGAGTGGTATGTAGTTAGAATTCAATGTAGTTTCGACAGATTGATGAATATTTTCACTATTGTGACTCTATGTACTGCATATCATGAAGCGAGCGGCTTTTTGCCCCTTGTTTTTCTTGGATCGCATAAATCATGATCTCGTCAAACAGCATTTCTTCGACCTTACTGATACCTGATACGTGAAGAGCACTAGCTTTCAGCTTAGTTGCTCGCTAAAAGCCTTCTTAATTGCCTCACAACTCTGGGCCAACAGCCAATCTATATGCGGCAGAAATTCTCCACGAGCAAAATTCACGAGAGCATATTGCTTGCGATCAGTTGAGGAGCACTCTTTTCTCGGTGGAACATTTGGACACACGCTGTTGAGCTTCTATGAGAACTGCGTTTGCTAGCTAAGATTAATACGAATGACACTTTGCAAAAAGGGTGTTATATACGGCATACTGTACGTGAGATTTGCGTTTCTTGGCAAATTCGAATATGATTTCTGGAGGGTATATATCGTAATAATTCTAGTTTTTTATTAAAGCATTTTTTATCATGAGAGGGTACTTAAATTAATTAAAGACCTAAGTGTAGACTAATTTCTCCATTTTAGCGCTACGACCACAGAAGCTCGGGGCCATAGATTGAGCTCAGCTCATGGCACTTCGGCTTCTCGGACTACCGCCGAGAAGCGCGAGGCGTCATGATCCTTCTGATCATAAGCGTCCACGACGTTTGGGCAGCCTTGCCGAAGTGGCACTTCAAATTCCAAAGGGTTCTCAAACTTTTGGTATCCCCGCCACTTCACAAGATATTGGGTTTGACTTTGTCGAAGACGTCGACCCACAAGGCGTTCCACGCGATAATGAACGCCACCGTTCTCATCGGGAAGAGTCAGCGACGGACGATGACGACTTAGTCGACCGCCGTACGGTAAATTGCGATGCACTATGAGCTCTGGAAGACAAAGTCCGTCTTCATCCGCACTCCACCGAGCATCTTGCCGAGGTCGCATAACGCTGTGCGGAAACCCTCGAGAGGCTGGAGCACTTTGTGCACCGACTCCCTCACGTTGAGGACTATTGCGCTCTGTCGGAGCGGCTCCTAGCCGTCAAGCGACGGTGAAGTGCCTGGCACCATTGGAAACGGAAAGCGTTGCTCTCCGTGCTCAAAACTAGTTGTCGGCTCAACATCTGGGTGGCCGAGCGCCTATGGGCGCCGCCCGGGTGCCAACGCTTCTGCGGTCACTTGCGCCGAATACCGGTACGGCTTAAGCAATCCACATAAAACATCGGGTGATTGCGCAACCTTCTCGGAAAGCTTGGCGTATAAGCAGAGCCTCGCTTGGTCATGACCTTAAAAGGTCCGAAAAACTGTTGACGTAGCTTCGTCGTAAAGCCAGCAGAGCTGCATGTGTAGGAAGGTTTTCAGCATTTAATAAAAGTAGGTCTCCGACCTCAAAGCTCTTCACATTTCTTCTGCTTATACCGTCTGGCTTTTCTTTCTGCGTGTCTTGGCTTTCAGCCATCGCATCGCGAACATGTCGAAATATCCGCAATCTGGTAATCAGGAAGTCATCGCCTTCTTTTTGCACAATGAGAGGGCTGACATCAGTTAGCCATTTGGCTATTCCTCCCTCACCAAGCCCTGAGTCATAGGATGGCGGCGTCAGCGGGACGCGAGGATTAATAACCCTGTTCACGTAGAACGGCGTGTAACCAGTAGATGCATGCGCTACATTGTTCAAAGCGAACTTCACAAGTAGCAGCATGGCGCTCTAACACGTCATCATCTCAGCGAAGACGCTGCAAAGAACGTCTTTAAAGACGCAACTCAGGCGCTTAGTTTCATCATCGGTCTGCGAATGGTTTGACATTGACATAGTCAACTTGGTGCCCAGCCCCTTGAAGATCGTCGACAAAAAATTCCAGCAGATGCGCGGATCTCTGTCAGATAGAATTGACTCCGGGTGTCCATGTTGTCGAAAGACACGATCCCCAAACAGCGTCGCTGTACAGACACCGTCGATGGTGCCCGGCACAGCCGCAAGACAAGTCATCTTGCTTAAACGGGCGACAAAAACCACCACACCTGTTTGTTCGGCAGGCCAGACACAAAGTCCGTACTCATGGACCGCCAACACCCGGAGGGTACCTGTAAACTGGCCAGCGGAACGGTCGCATTCGGAGAGGGTTTTAACTCTTTCGATACGTCTCAAATGTGCACACAATGGGGCTCGTCCATTTGAACAGCTTCGGCCACCATTAGTGGCAACTCACAGAGCTGTAGGTCTTCTCACGACCAAGATAACAACTGAGTGGGGTCATAGAGAAATCGGTGCTTCAAATCCTGATCATGAGGAATCACAATTCGTGGTGTATTCGTCGAGTCGGTGCTATAATACAGCAACCCGTTTTTCAAAGAATATCGGCGTAACCGTGCGTGCAATCGCGCCGACATTTTCTTGTCCGAGTTTCCAAACTACTTGCTCCCGAGAGCCTGTAGCATCGCTACACACATACCATCACCCGCGTAAGCGGCGCGGATCAAATTCGTCACTGACGACGCCACCGTCGCGACATGAGCTAGCTCAAAATCCGGCCTGCGTGACAACGCATCAGCCAAAGCATTTTGCTTTCCCGGTTTATACTTTTCCTCGAAGTTATTTTCTGCAAAGATAAAAAGCCACCTGACCATACTCTGCGAGAGGTGAGGCGACTGAGTCGCAGTTGCTAGAACGCATGATTTGTGTAGATCGCAAACGGCTTTGAGCCAAGCAGGTGCACCCTGAAATTGACAAGTGCATACTTCATAAAAATTATTTTTTGTCGTGGACTGGGTATTTCTTCTTTGTAACCTCGAGCTGGCGAGAGTCAAGCGCGACCACCCGATCATGCCCCTCGGCGTCTGTTTGCAGCAGTGCAAGCAGATGGCAATGTTCGAAGCGTCACAGGCAACACTAAAAGGACGATCGGGTTCTGGCAACACCAGTATTGATGTATGAAGGAGGCTATCTGTGACCCTGTCAAAAGCCTCCCGCTGCTCGGTGTACCAACACCATTCTATATCCTTCTTAAGGAGATTCGACGATGGCCGTGCCATTTCCGCATAATTCGCGCTATACTTGTGCAAGTAGTTGGCAAGGCCAAGCCACGTGCGCAAGTCCTTTTGGCCGGCCAGTCCACAATGGTCTTGACCTTAGTGGGATCCACTCGAAGGCCACGATTCCCAATGAAGCACCCTGAAAAGAATTCAGCCGCTTTGCTGATAACATTGCCAAGTTAGAGTCGAGAGTAGTGGTCAAGCCGGCCTTGGTAGGGTCGACAATGAGACAGCTCGGGTCGGACATTGTGTCGACGAGGATGCGTCAAATTGTATTGCATATGTGAATGACTCAAGCTCTCTGCTGAAAGTGTACAATATCGGAAAGTCACACTGCATATGTTGCTTTACAGATTAATACTCGTTCGCGGCAAAGGCTTTCCAAGAGGCTAATTTCTCTCTGCCCAATAGGACAGGCAATCGCGACAATACTTAAGAAAACCATCTCGCCTTACAAAACACCGCGGTTGTCCAAATTCCTGCGCATCAGCAGCACCGGCAAACACCAGTCCAGTAAGTACTCGTGCGGTAAGTTGATGAAGTTGATACGTCAAATTACCTTGCGATGCAAATCAAACAAAGCTCACGCTTCTCCTTCATGTGTTGTGAATCCGAGCTTTGATGAACACAACATGCCTTTTATATACTAATTCAAAAAAAGTCAAACTGGTAATATACATATATCTGCATCCCGTATAATCTTTAACAGCCACGGCGGTATGCAAAGCTATCACTGATTCGTTTCAGAATGCGTTGTAGACAAAGAACAGATACCTCTAATATCAAAACGCTCTGCCATGACTATTCAATTATCTCGTAGAAGGACGAGCTTATAGTCGCTACAGCCAACTTCATCCTTATACTTGTTGAACATTTCTTGAAGCGCTGCAAAATACCTAGCATGGACTTGGTCGATGACATCCTGTGTGGGTTTTTCAATGTGGGGCACTTCAATGGGTTTTCCGACTACGATGGGAATATTGATTTTGCGTGGAATTGGAAGCATACCGCGGCCGTACGGAAAATATGGAAAAGGAAATGCAAGTTTCTTCACGAACCAACGCTGCAGCACGGGGGCTTGAATGTTATCCATTAACTCGCCCTCCTTGAAACTCAACACAGGCACGAGTGGCACGCCATGCTCAATGGCAAGTCGGATGAACCCCCTATGGTGGGTATAAACACGCACCTCAT